GTTAGGGATGCTAGTCCCTTTATTCCCAAGGTCAGAATTCCTGGTTGCTGCACTTTTTTCCTTGTCACTTGCTGATTTAAAGTTATTTTGAGGCGAATACCTAAAAGATATGAAATTGTAAGGGGATTTCTCCATCAATTATGCCTTCAAAGCTAGACTAGATTCCTTAACCATGGTGCATACAGTCTGTAAATCCATCTTCTCATTCTAATATCACTTTAAGTTGTTGATGTTTCGAGCTACCTTATGGCTCTCTGATTCTCCTAGTTCATTATGCCCAAAGAAATTTAGGAACTCGGTTGTGTATTCTCTTACACTTCTCTTTCCCTGAACACGCTTAATATACATCTTATGAAGAATGTGCCTATAATCCTTAGGTAAAAACTGCTCCAATATCAATTATTTCATTTTTTGCCAAGAACTGACACACCCTATTCGTTGCATTTACCTCTAAAAAAATAAGTTTATCCCACTAGACAACAGTAATACTCTTTAGCCTGGTCGCCACCATTTTAAATTGCTTATTCTTCGGGATCCCCATGATGTCGAAGAATTTGTCAACGTTGATCTATCAATCCAAAAACTCCTCAACTTCCATTGTTACTTAGAATAATGGAATATCAGCTTTCACTCGATAATCATGGTCATGAAGATTCCCATGATTAACTATCTCCTCCTCATTGGTTTCTTCTTCTTCTTCAGAACTTGTATTTTCATCAATAATAACACGTCGACTCCCTTCTCACGTCTCTTCACTGGTTCCCGTTGTTGTTGGTGTTGCTCACCTAAGTTGTTAAAGTCACCATTTGTTCAGTCAAAGCAGTTAGAGTTGTGGTAAAAGTTACGGTAAATTCCCTTAAGGTCTATGGTGGACAATGGTTGATCTCTCATGGATGGTCAAGCTACGAAAAGAAATGGGAGAAAATCTGCTCGGATGCCACCCGACGCAATCGTAATCACAAAGGATTAGCATACGCTAAACCTAGAATAAACACACAAGTTTGCAAGTGACAAACTTATTAGATAAAACTTAGGAATCTACCAAAAGAGAAAAATACTTGAATTTGAGTATGATAAAAGATAATCTTGACGTCCACACCTAAAAGAGTTTATATACATAAAAGAAATCCTAATGCTAAAATTATTATTTAAAAAAACTTGTTAAAATTGATGAAAAAAATACGAAAATTACTAAAATTGTATAAATTATTAGAAGAGAGAGAGAGAGAGAGAGAGAGAGAGAGAGAGAGAGAGAGAGAGAGAGAGAGAGAGAGAGAGAGAGAGAGAGAATTCAAAATTATTGATATGATTCAACATTTCAACGAAGCTCTCTATTTAAAATAAAAATTCAATATCGACTATTATAAAAGGAAGGATTAAATTAAAAAATTGAAAGTGAAGTTCACTTAATTATGTGCGGTAGACACTGACATGTGTTAAACAGTCAAAAAAAAAAAACGTGTGCAAAACGCATGCTTGCATATCAACTTTGAAATTTATTTTATCTTTTAAAAAGAGTTTCTGGTTCTAAAAGATGTATTTAACAACTGGCAGCGTCAATATGGACTATCAATTAGTTGTAATTATTAACAACTCTATATACCATAGCATTGGAGTATGTCAGTCAAAATTGTATGCAAAACGCAAACTGACGTGTTAACTTGAAAAAAAAAAGCAATTACAAATCAGAAAAATGTATAGTAGAAAACAAAAAGAAAAACAACAGAAAAAGGGGGAAAAAAGTAAAAGACATAATTATTACTAAGAGTCCTTTAAATTATTATTTTTGCACGTTGGTCCTTCAATTTTTATTTATTAAATTAGTCCTTTAAGTTAATAAATATGTACACCATTACACTTTTTTAAATTGTTGATTAAACTAATCATCTAAAATATATAAAGTTGCACCAAAATAAATAAAATAGCATCTAAAATACATAAATTAGCATCTAAAATACATAAAGTAACATCCTAATTCAACACATTTGTAATTGCTAAAAAAAATTAAATGACCAAATCAGTTTAAAAAAATTACTTAAAAAACATTTGTGTAATTTTACCGAAGTAAAAATAAAACAGAATATTATCTAGAAAATAAAATTTCAGTGAAAGTTCATGAGGAGGCTTTGGAGCATTACTAAATTACTATATATGAGTTGATGGATGTACCAAATCCCATAAATTAGTTTTTCAACCAGACATAACTTCCCATGTGGTCCTGCCTAAAATCACAACCACTAGGTAACATAAGCAAAACAACACATCATTAAAATCAAAGCAATTTTACACCACTATTTCTAGTTACCTGCAGTAACATGTTTAGATTTCCAAAGCTCAGAACAGAAACTCAGAAAATGATACTATAAGAATAAATTATGTGGCTCAGATAAGGTAGATAAAAACAAAGGTAAAAAAACAAAAGGATTGTTATAACATGAGGCTCTTGAGATTGTAGGACATTACAAATTTGTAACATAAATAAAACCAGATAATTTGTACGTCGTATTCCTCGAATAGACTCATCATGTTCTGTGAACAAGATTAGTTGTAGAAAGAGATCAATTTAGAATTTGGGATAGAGTTTTATGGCCCACAAATTTTACCAAAATATAGTGTTGTTATGATCAAATCAAGGAAAGGATGTTCTTTTAATTTGATTGTGACTTGACCTTTATTTGGCACATGAAGGCCATGTTACTCTTGCCTCCTCCCAATATCGACCTGTTCAGATTTGATCATTCTTACAACAACTTGAAAACACCTATGTCTAGTCTACTCGATCTTTGGAGAGTAATGTGAAATTTTGAATTGTGTTTTGAGTTTCTGTTTTTGTTCTTTTCTGTTGGTGTTATCTGAAAACTTGTTGAATCATATTTGGAGTGTTTAAAGCAACCCATGATGGTTTTTCTATAATTGGATGGAGTTATTGCTAGGGATATGGTGTAAAGATGGAAAAGTTTACATAAAATTAACCAATTGTCACATGTGATTGTTAATATGACTCAATTTTAATCATTTAAAAGATAAGATATTGTTAGTACAGCTCTTCTCAAATTGAAAAGTGGGTGTTGATTAGAATATAATGGAGATAACTCTACATCTAAAGCATTAGGGTTTTGGGTTATGTTCCATGATCTCTCGAGTTCTTTCATAACATAACTTTAATATTTGAGTGCAGAGGTTTTAGATGTAGATGTGATGTTCAATGATCTCTCGAGTTCTTTCATAATATAACTTTAATATCTGGGTGTAAAGATTTTGGATGTAGATGTGATGTTCAATGATCTCTTGAATTTTTTCATAACATAACTTTAGTATATGGGTACAGAGGATTTTGGGTGCAGACGTGATGTTCCATGATATCTCGAGTTCTTTCATAACATAACTTTAACATCTGGGTGCAGAGATTTTGAATGTAGATGTGATGTTTAATGATGTTTCGAGTTCTTTCATAATATAACTTTAGTATATTGATGCAGAGGATTTTGAATACAAATGTGATGTTCCATAATCTCTTGAGTTCTTTCATAACATAACCTTAATATTTGTGTCAATAATTTTGTCAGACACCTACTAACTCTCTATTGTTTACAAGGTTGTTAAAATGGAGATTTTACGAAGAGACTCAAACTAACTTATCTAAAAAGTCGGTATTAATCTGTGGCTTCTTCTTCTTACTCTATTCCAAAAAGTTGAACAGAAACAAATTTCTATGACTCCATAAATTCCATGCAAGTCTTCACAAGACATTTTCCCATCTCTTTCAGCCAATTCTTGTGTTTCTGAGTTTTTGGAAAAAGTGCATTATGAAGACTTTTTCAAGTTAGTACTACTCTGACTATGATTAACACTAATTGAGTTATAATTAAGATGATGGTAGTTGGCTCAATTATATTTTTGTCTGTTTCAAACTTCCAGTTATTTTAGGACCCGTCCCTATCCAATTAACGTAAGCCTCTGTCACTAAATTTAAGCAGAAAACAACAATTTCCATAGAGGGTATTCTTGTTTTGGTTTATAACTAAAAATATTACTCCCTTAGTTTCTTTATAATTATAATTGTCACTTTTGTGAAAAAAAATTGTTAATTGTCGTTTTCAAATTTCAATGTAATAATTATTATAGTTTTATCAAAATTACCTCTAATTATTTATTATGAGAGAAAAATATATTGAAGTAATTAAAAGTTAAGGATTTTATAACCAAAAGAAAAATCATAGTCTAAGGGATGAAACAGAGGGGTTAATGTATAAGAAGTAGAAATGTCCTTCACAACAATGCAAAACCAAGGACCAAGTTCAAACTTTAAACCAGTTTTTCAGCCTTTAAAGGATGAAAATCAGACCATTAAATTATGTGGCCTAAAAGTTAACTTCCAAAAGTATAAGTGGTTTTAAGAAGAGAGGTTGGAAAGTAGGACCCTTGATTATTATTCCAAGTACTAGCCAGAGTACTAAAGGGCCTTTCCTTAATTCACTCCTTGCCTCAACAAAAAAGGGCCCTTCCTTGGTTAACAATTAACATCCATACATTGCTGTACCTACTCACTACTTTGTCTATCTTGGTCTGCTCATTGCACCTAGAAGAACATCATCATATGAACCTCACTTGTGGAATTACAAAACTCACTAAAATTAAACAGCTGAAAGTAATGGTACTCAGTTCATGTTAATATTTATTACTCACTTACTTCAAACTACTATCTCAACCACTAGTATATTTATTACTCAGTTCATGTTAATATGATATAACAGTTATACTCAATGTATATTTGTAGTTAACAAAAGAAACAGATTGAATTTGTTAATCTTTTATCAGTTAAGCCATAGAGATTGGCTGCTTATTGATTAATCTTATACAAATTTAACACCACAAACAAAAATGAAATGAATTACTAGATTACAACTGAAGAAATAGCTAGCTGATGAGGATGATTTAATCAACCATTTGACAGCATTCTGACTAATTAGAAAATAATCCTCAAAGTCCTAATTGTATATCTATTGGTCAGGAGATGATTTAAGCTGCTGCTGCTTGTGTTGTCCATCTATCGAAGTTATATGTCGTTTCAGTTTTGAGATATGAGCTTGAACCTGTGTCAAGGAAAGTACGAAATAACTATCAGTTGGCTACACAATTTTGTTACAAGATTGTTGATATGAACATTCAAAGTCTTCTTAGAAAAACCTAAAGTATATTCCCAATTTCAGTAACAAAGTGCTGTCAATTGCGGATGACGATAGCAGTGATTTCACAACATTTACTAAATAGCTAGTTGTTTGTCTGAATTCCGCTAGGCTATAGTGATATAACGCCGGTATAGCAGAAAGTAGGATTTGGCACCTCACAACTTCCACAAATGGGGATACATAAGTCACACACTAAGAAGCTTAGTTGGGCTTATCTTATTGACATAAACCCTTATGTAAGTGTTTAGATAATAGTTTATGACTTTCAACTTATTTCAACAAGCTTCACACAATAGCTTATGAAAGAAACTTACACAGTAGTTTAACAGACTTTCTTCTTTATAGAAAAGACTTATACATAAGTGCTTATATTACACTGTATACCCAAATGTACCATAGCTCAAGCAATCAACAAAGTATTGGCAAAATACAAGGAAAAGGACATCATAAAAAGTTTAGCTTATTGACAATGGCCAATGATTTGGAGAAATGAAAAATAAGTTCCTCTACACGGCGTGATAAGTTCCTCTGACATATTTGATTTCCTTTTAAGTAAAATTGATTCTACTTAAAACTAGGATTTGTAGCTTTTGAGTCTAAATATAATTTTTACACTGAAGTTTACTATTCAACTCACTTTTACATGAATTAATCCAAACATAGTTCACTTCATCTTCAACTCACTTTTAGCCATAACCAATTCATTCAAAATCAATTTTCATCACCACATAACTAAACATTTTTGGTATGATAAGATTTCGGAATGTTCATAGCCCACCTGCCCGGCATAGAAATTATTAGAACAAACACATGACTGACCCACAGGTGATAATAATGGATGTGAGAAGCAAATCCTTTAATAATGAAGCACAGGTGATATAGTACGGTATTACATAAAACTGGAATAAATCATGTTAATTTGCATACACAAAATATTTTAAGTCTTCTTTCTTAAAAAGAAAATCCTTAAATGAAGAACAAGCACAAGTGAGGTGGTAGTACAAGAAATATATTAAATAAAGCTGGAAAAAAGCTCATTTGCATATAAACCATCTTTTCTATCTTCTCCCTGATCGCCCCTCCAGTTACTACCTGCTAAGCTACCCTCATTCTTTAGAAATAGAACTTAATTGTTTAGTTACAAACAAGAATTCCATGCATGCACGGGTGACGGGTCAGTATAACCAATAGTCTTATTTGAGAAAAGTATGTAATAATAATTCAAAGACAATTCTAACTTTTCACCCTTATTAAAGCTAAATTATTAATATACATTTTAGTTTATTTAGACATACATTATTTAAATTTTAAACAAACATGTACCATATGTTAAAGTTTGATGGAATTGTGTCCCTGTCAGCCACCTCAACACTTAACGGAGGGATTCTAAACAGCAAAGCATAAATAGAATTTCTTGATATATAGAAATTAACAACTTTTGTAGGGAACAAAACTGTAAAGCCTATATTACCATACCGTACGGAGACCAGATTATTTTAAGCGCATTTATTAGTTTAAAATAGCATTACAATAGACAGTCTTAATGTTCATGCCCCACATAGAAAATTATTAGAACTAGCTAATCCACGATATAATGATGATAATTGATGCCATAAACAAATCCTTTAATGATAAACAAACAAGCACAACTGATGGTATAAGATAACTATGAAATATTTTGAATAAAACCATTTAATCACAAACAAGAATCCTTTACATACACAGCTCAGCACAACCAATAATCATATTTAAGAAAATAGGGTGCATTCTATTCTAATAATACAAAAGCATAATTCTTTTAAGTTAACTAATAATCACAAAAGTGGGCTAAACACGCATCATGCAAACAAAAAATACATTCAAGTATAGAACAGAAGTTTTGAATTTTTTATTGACGACTCTTGATTATATGTTTTGGATAGACTTAGGAGATTTGGGCATGTAGAGAAAGACTAATAGATTGTGTGGTAAAATAAGGAGAGTAGATCTGATGGAGAGGAGTCAAACAGTTAGACGTAGAGGAAGACCTAGAAAAACTATAAGAGAAGTTATTAAGAAAGATCTTAAGATTAATGATTTAGATAGAAGTATGGTTTTGGATAGAACATTATGGCAGAAGTTGATCCATGTAGCCGACCAACTTAGTGGGATAAGGCATGGTTGTTGTTGTTGACTCTTGATTATATGTTTTGTTGTGTAGACTGTAGAGATAATACTTAGAAAAGAGCTCCTAATACAAATATAGAAAGAAAAAAATTTGATAAACAATAACCATGGATCAAAATTATAAAACTTGATGTTATCAAATTTCTCTACAAGACTAATTAACAGTAACAAGACTAATTAACAGTAACAGGTACATATATATAAATGTTTCTAGGATGGTAACTACAAACAGCAAACAGGTGCACATGTATGAAATAGACTTCATTATTAGTAAGGATGCAATCAAATACTTGCTGTAAGTTGGTGGTTCAGATTCAAAATGTATGCATCTTCAGGGCCTCCACAACAACTTTGACATCCAAAAAAGTCACATACTTTAAATTTTTTGAATAAGATATTACATTATATCATCCGTACCTGCTGACGAGCTGCTGCAAGCTGTAAGAGTTCATCTGCTTCTGAGAAATTCAGGAACCATTGGCTTAAGGGATTATCTTTGGTATCGCCTCTCCTCCTTTTACTTGCATCTTCAACTGGAACTGCATTTATATAATATAACATTAATTAAAATTAAATGTGGAAAATGAAAGCTGCGGTTGACTATGGTAATTGCAAAGTAACATACTAGGAGGAGGTAAGGTAAGCCCAGGAGGTAATCTTGGCCAGTTCACAACTGGGTGATTCTGCAGACGAGCTAAGAAAGCTTCGGAGGGATCGGGGAAAACTACCTCATCATAAGATTCCACAACAAGAGGCTTCTTTGTGGACATGGAACTGTTTTCATCCTCTGGATACAACTTCAAGTGATGATATCTGTATATATATTACACTTCAATAAAACACAAGATTCAGAAATTATTTTGACATTGACAAAATATGGTTTGCAAACTGCATGATTAACACAGTTAATGCCAGATATATGGCCATGTAGAATATCTGTATCATATGATTTAAATCATTAAACATTGGAATCGTGTAGCTCCGTGCTCTAACCAAACATAGCACAATATATATTAGTTGTATAATCATCTAAGCTTATACGATTCCATTGCTTGAAAGTTAAGGAGTGGAGCGATAACGAGATTGAGGGTTCTATCATCGCCCACAACATCAAAATTAACATTTACTAGCATACTAACAATTGCCATTTCAACATAAAAAAATCAGCTAAGCTTATCATTATTAATAAAATCAGGTCCTGAAGCAAACAAAAGTTACCAAGCTACCGTGTCTATCTAACTGAACTTAGCATGGCATAGAGCCACAGTCCACACTATTGTGCTATTTTAGAACCAAAACATTGTTTTTTTTTAAAAGCTTGGTATCCGGCCACGCGACTATCAAATCCAAGTGGATCAATCCCACCATCTACTTGCGGGGCCCCATTTAAGGCCATAGCAAAACTCTATGATTTAGCCCAACACAAGGAATTGTTAGCACTTAGCGGAATTCGAACTTGAGACCTTGAGAAGAGCACAGTCTCAGGACCCAAGCCTTCACCAACAAGCCAACCCCTGGGGTTTACCAAAGCACATTGATGATAATAAATCATCTGTTGAAACATACTATATTTGATACTTTCTCTATCCTTACTAGTACTTTTGATTTGGAGCATAGTTTGAACATCTACATTGAATCAAGAGATCAAACAAAAGGCTAAAGAAACCCGGCTTTCCCCATACACATGCAATCAAACTAGCTACTAAATCAAAAGCAACGTCAAACGACTCACAAGTTCAAAGGCTTGTCGCAAACATCACTATGGAAATAAAGTGTAATTGCAATTTCAAATTCTCCCCATCCTGCCTCAGACAACTCAAAAGGAGGTGCATCCACAACCCTTGTGGGATTATTGAAACTAGTATGCAACTGAAAAACAGCACGCTTTACAATAACCCCCAGGTCCTCGTTGGATGCTCCACGAACATATATAGTCCATTTATGCGATTGATACCTTAAAAAAACATAAACATTGTGACCTCAGTACTTCATTTTCCGATGAAAAAAACCGATTTAAGCATTGTATTAGTAGGATACTTACTCACTAGCTTTTTTGCCAAGCCAAAATGCTATGTTCCCATACACTATTGGAACACTTATTTCTACATCTTTGACTTTCTTACTTGAATTCTACACAAAACCCAGAAATTGTTACACTTATATAATCAAAATTAAACTAATCCATATTCCCTTATATTTTACAATCTAAAACCATTAACAAAATTTAACACTCTGCACAGTCATTTTAAGGATTGTTTCATATTAAAGCTTCGAATTTGAATAAATCTGCAGGCTTTACTTGAATAATGGGATTTTATCTGAATCGAAACAAGGTTACCTTCTTATCGTTGTCTTCGGATTTACCCATTTTGGTTCGGAGAGATACAGGGACGGGACCACTAAATTCAGGCTGATCTTGACCGTGCTTTTTCGAGGATGAGGTGTTGGGCATGTCAATTTGTGAATTCGTCACGTAAATGGAATCTGAATCTGAGTATCTGGTTCTAGGGTTCGTCTCTGTCAGCAAAAATTACACAGAACAACAGGCCGAGCTCAAATTCCGGATGGGCTTGTTTTCTAACAGAATTTTGTAATGGGCCACCAGAACGAGAATTTTTTCTGGCACCCTCCAAATAAGAAGAAAACTTACATACAATTTCATAGTCTTATTATTTTTCAAAGAAAATATAACAAGTAAGTTTAAATATCTTTTAAAGAGTGAAATTAAGAAAAAATTATATATGTGTAAAAAAAATTTATATACTTGTCATATTTTCATTAGAAAATAGTAAGAAATATATATATATAAATATATATATATATATATATATATATATATATATATATATATATATATATATATATATATATATATATATATATATATATATATATATATATATATATATATATATATATATATATATAAAAGTTTTTTTCCATAAAAAATACCTATCTTATTTTTTCATTAACGACGTGCTAAAAAATTTATATGGTAGACTCTTCAAAAAATACCATACGCATTTTTACTGTCATTTTTAAAAAATTTGGTGTGACAAATTTTATCGATTTTTCCAAAAACTCTAGGGAATATCGAATTTTTCCATAACCCTAAAAAAATTGTTAGTGTTAGTTTTCATTGGTTGAGATTTTGTCGACATTTTTGCAATACAAGTGGAACTTGATTGAGGTGGTCTTGTATGCATCATAGATTATAAATTCTAAGTGAGATAAGTGAGTTTTTATTATGTTAGATAGAAAATTAATTTTCAAAACCATTATGGTATTGTTGACAAGCAAATTTTCGACTTAAGTATTAGGCCACGTGTTAGGTGATATTCTTCGTCAAAGAAGAGCATAAAAAATGAGCTATGGGCATGTCGACAGGATTTCAGAGATTACGTCCAAAAATGTGGTCGGTGAGATAGTATCAAGAGCGAAGCAAAGTCGATGACGACTAGACAAGTCGAGATCAAAAGAAGATGGCGGTAAAAGTGGTTATCAACAATGAGTGTTGAGAGAGATGTGGGAGTTTCAAAATTAGTTTCGCACGGACCGACAATGTGAGTGGCTCAAGTAACCGTCAACAGTTACATTTTTTAGCATCTATTTAAGCAAATTATTGCATTTTTATAGTGGTCGCATTTTGTAACATTGTAAGAGAGCACTCAAAGTACTAGCGCATAGAGAAACGAGTCAGTTCTGGAAAATGTACGATTGCGTCCACCGTTAAATTCAAAGCATTTTAATCTTTACAAAATCTTGTTTATCTTTTCCAGTCTTACAATTTATCTACCATTTACTTGTCTTTGTTTTCTTATTTGCGTTCTCCGTGCCTTGATCTTGTCAAGCACCAGAATACTATCATACTTAACATGATAGTCTAGGACTTATGTAGCCGGTCTTGCAAGCAACCTTAAATTAAGAGGCTACAGATTGTTCGTGAGAAACTCCCGCGAACAAATTAGCATACCTGGTGAGACGTGTTTGTGTTAAGTTCATCTCAATCTGTGTATGAGATTGAGAAGTGGAAGAAAAATGGTATATCCTAAAACTCTTGAAAGGGATCAAACCCTGGGAAGAAATACCAATGCCGCGGCGAGATTCCAACAACCAACAATCCTTATTAGATAAACAGTATCGATTGTGTATATGACACATCGAATACAAAAGGAAATAAACACATTAATAACCTGGCCAATTGTCCGACCATGCTCTAATAGCACTATTATAACACCCCATAAAATCTCCCGCACAAATACATAGCATAATCAGAGTAAATATCATGCATATCTCAAAAGTGTGTCACATTTACTTCACAAAACACATATAAACAATTACAGTGGTCATGATCATAACATGCATTCTAAATCATGTTCCATACACTAACACATAATGCATCTCACAGAGGAAAATAATTATTTCTCATAGTAATACTAATGATTGAAATCTCATACTAACAATCATATTATAAAATATTAGACACTAAAGGTCACTCATCACATAATCTCAAATACATCATAAATAAAGAGAGTATAACAAACATCTCTCAAAAATAATATGAGTTCAAACGTTGCCCCGTGTTACATAGACCAGGACATGACTCACTATCTATATAAGTGGATAAACAAGAACTAGATCCTCCGACTAATCCTCGCGAGAAGCACCAGTATCTTCGGTACCTGAGCGATATCGTATAAAACATCATTTCAGCAGAAGGGTGAGAATTCATATCATTATGGAAATATATAATAATAGTAATGCATCACATACAAGCATTAATTGAATTCGTCACATTTCATACATTTAAGTATTTAATAATTTCATTACAATTCACATGTTTACATATACAACATAGCTCAACCACTCAAGACCTAAAGATAAACAATCACAACTACCACCAATATATCATTCACACCGATATCACATAAAGCACATCAAACATACATTTCACATCGACACATGTGACTTCAATGTTACTCTATGCAATATGTATCTGGTACCAATTGTTATCCTTATCGGTATCACCAAGTCCATCTCCAAGACAAATAACCACCAAAAATAAGCACGTCCCCTAAGCTTCAAACCCATCTCCAAAGTTTGGGACAAGTCACTAACTCTCGCAAAAGTTAGCATTGCCTCTTGATAATTCATGATGCATGTGCAATATCAACATATATATACAATTAATACCATCTCCAAAGCTTAATCATACAAGCATATTTCATATAATTCAACACATTTAAATTATCTCTCCAAATTGCACAATATACATACATCATGTCAATATTCACATACAATGCATACTCATAGAATTTATTAACTCAACACACCACAATAACACATAGCAAATAATGTCCAAACATGCTATTCTCATTCACCATCAATTCACAACACACATATATACAAAAATCAAGCATTATGTTTCTCATCAAAAGTCATCCAAAACCAATTAAAAATACATCGAATAAATTATTAAAATTCATGGAAATCCTTTATAAATCATAGGCATACAGAATCTCCAATCAATCAAACAAAATATAAATTTTTTTATCCCATACTGCACTAAGCACGACCCATAGCGCTAAGCGGCCTCGCGATTATACAAAAAAAAATCGGATGCGAACAACTTCTACCTCCTACAAGTTTCACCCCTAAATTCCATCCAAACAGCCATTTTTCATAAATTAAATACATATTGACCTATATCTAACATGTATCATCAATTAGAAACATTAAAACACGATTTCTAACATAAAATTTATGAATCACAATCCAACCCTAACATGTTAAAACTAGCATTTGAAGAACAAATCTCTAATTTCATGTTACTACCCATCACATACCATTATCTAGGGTTTCTCTTCCTTCTCCTCTCTTTCTTCCTCTTTTTTCCTCTTTCTTATCTTCTCTTGTTTCTTTCTTTCTAATTCTATTTCTCTTTATTTTACAAAACTCTTACAAACTCTTATTTTTTTGATGGGCTTATCTCACCCACTCACTCTAATGTAATACATAAGGCCCAAAACACATATGACACATATATGTAATTAATTCAAATAATTCATATATTCAAAAAATTACACAATTTAATTAATTACTATATCACATAACAATTAATAAAATAAATAGATAAATAAAATAACTAGTAACTAAAACCAAGGTGTTACAAATTGCATACCATCATTAAACCATGGCCCTTTAGAGGATGGGCTTTAGACATTATAGGCATAATTCAACCTGCGTTGTCGAAACAATAGAGGTTCATCCTGGTGGGGATATATTATTTTACCAAATGGATAAAAGTCATACCTTTAGTTAGTGTGGATCAAGATACGGTGATTGAATTCATCCAAAAACACATAATTTATAGGTTTGGAATTCCTGAGACTATAACCACAGACCAAGGGTCGGTGTTTATCGGTCGAAAGATGCAAGAATTTGCATCTGAAACAAGATTTAAATTGTTAACCTTAACACCTTATTATGCTCAGGCCAATGGGCAAGTAGAGGTTGCTAATAAAGTGATAATTAGGTTGATTAAAAAACATGTTGCTAAGAAACCTAAGAATTGGCATAAAACGTTGGATTAAATACTATGGGCTTGTCGAACATCCCCTAAGTAGGCGACAAATTCAACGCCTTTTCGTCTAGTGTTTGAACACAATGCTATTTTTCTAGTCGAATTATATCCGCAGTCCATAAAAATACAATGTCAGAATGAACTTTCATCAGACTAATATTGGGGTCTGATATTCGACGAAACAGTCGACTTGGACGAATAAAGGTTAGTTACATTGGACGTGCTCATTCAATAGAAGGAGTGAGTCGCCAGAGCATACAATAAAAAGGTGAAAACTAAGACGTTCTTAATAGGTGAATTTATTTAGAAACTAATTCTACCTATGGATCGATGAGATCGAACGTTAGGGTAATGGTATCCAAATTGGGAAAGACCATTCCAATTTACAAAAATATTTACAAATAATGCTTACGAAATTGAGGAAATAGGTTTTAACCAACGAGTCCTTAAAGTAAATGGGAAATATTTGAAAATATATAAACCTATGCTTCAAGAGATTCTAATTGCAGTATAATAAAGCATATTATACAAATATGAGTCACCAAAATGAAAGGAAACCAAGATGGTAACCATGTGTCTCCCAAAAATTACATGAGTTCGATAGAAGATAAATAGGAAATACTACAAATAACACTTCTAATGTCGGATGCAAAAAGCGTTGTACATCGGCATCAGAAGCGAGATGAATAAGGTCGTCATGAAAAGTCTCCATTTAACACGTCAGTGTTTCCAAACCCGACATGAATAGTTATTTCAAAACCATTTAGTACATGAGTTCGAATCCCAGGTGCCGCACTTTTATAATATTCCAAACTAGTGTATCTTTTATCTTGGTTTCTCCAAAAAACGAGGGATATATAAGATTTTTT